AGGAAATTCAACAAGAGATCGTATGATAAGAGCAAATTTAAATCAAAAAGCAACATTTAAATCAAAATCACCCATTAATCGTTCAGAAAGTACATTTAGTCGATCAATGATGTCCACTACTTTAGAGCGAACAAAAACGCCTAATCCATTTAAAGTTCGTGTAATCATCATTAAACATTTTAAATCCTGTAAATTATCGATCATTTATTTATAGCAAATTGATGCAAGTTTATTTCTGAATGAAGCAACGAGAATGAAATTAAAACGTTTATTTAATCAATTAGATACGGACAAGGACGGGTAACAAACAAACTCATATTAAAATTAACTGATATTATTAAATAATAGGCTCCCATTTAAATACTAAGTAGTTTTTATTAAATACTAAGTAAAAAGTTATTTTTTTCTAAGTAATTTATTAAAAATAATTATATTCTTTGCAGAAATGTGGTTTAGTGGCTCACTCTCATGCTCTCCACGTACCTCCTCTCACAACCGCCTCTAGGCACACAAAAATATATCTTACTAAAGTAGGAATTAACAAAAATCAACTTAGCATTTAATAAAAATTACTTAGCAAAAAAATAGTTCCCTAAATAATATATGTATTTTTTAGACATTTAACTTATCCACAAGTGAAGAAATGTTTACCGGCTAATATGGAACGAGCACAAGAGACATTTTTTAAAGTGGTATGTCATACAGATAGTTTTTAAAATAGATTCTCTTCTTCCAGAAAATTATAACGAGATGTAAGTTAAAAACATTTCTTAATCATCATAGAAGTCATTTCTATTTTAAATAAAACAGAAACATTGTCAGTTTTTTAAAAACATTTCAATGTTGTAGCTGTACGAAATAACGAGTGAAACAACTTTCTTTGGACTACATGAGTTTTATTCAACTGCTGTTATGGTAGACAAAATACATCATCAAGAGTAAGGATTTTTTTAACTCATTACTAACTTGTATCTTATCTTTAAGATAATTTTAGTCCAATGTTGTGGCAGCTTCTTGACGATATTGACTTTAATCATTATCGTGAAGACATGTTAGAATATATTGTAAGTATAATTGACACATATTCCCAAATATTCATTATAGATAAATTCGAGCTCGATTTAGTGATGATAAGAATGGCGAGACGTTTCCTTCAGGATATAAGCTCTCTAGTTTCAAGTTCGATCAGAACATCATTCCAAAAAATATTTTTAAGCATTTTTGTCTATATATATATTTTCTCAATAAAAGCGATCAGAATACGTTCAGCTCGCATTATTATTGAATAACAAGCTTGTAACAAGTCGGAATAATTTATTTTTCTAAGAAATTCAACATTTCTCTACAACGGAGTCAATAAACAATCTTTTAATGTTTACTGTTTTAATGTTTTAATGTTAACATTGACTCTGGTAGTGATCCACAAAAAACTATTCAAATTCCACAGTCTAGATGTAAAATTGAAATGCGCACTAGATTTGAAAAGATATCTAAGCAGATTTTTAAATAGTCAGGATTAAGGGACTCCCCCCTCCCCCCCAGAAATGGCGATTTTCGGTCAAAAAGTCGGTTTTGAGATACGCACATGGAAAGATAGCCTGAAGTATCTACTTTCAGAATCTGTATCGCTTTTGGTTACAAAAGTGGTTTTTCGCGAATTTTGAGCAAGTTTCCTAGGAGCCTCGAAAAACCGAATCTTTAAATGATAGTTTTCCTCGCACAACTCTGTATGACCTTGCATCAAAAAGTGACAGGCATTTTCCTAGAAGTTCTAAAATTGACTATTTCATACAGCGTTTTCTCTGTATAAGAGTTACACCTGAAGTGTATCACAAGATTTTTTATAGCGGTTTGTCGTAGAGAATTTATTCTTTTTTTATTTTAAAGAGGACAAGAAACTACATGGACTGACCGGCGCTGATTTTTGAATTAGGTCTAAGTTTTTTGTCAAATTGAAGATTTTTAGAAAACCTGGAAGGATTTTTCGGGTTTTGGAGGTTGTTAGTTGCCTGGAAAACCAATAAAGACTTGATTGAAAAATCGGCGCCGGTTAGCTCGTGTAGTTAGGTGTCTAGCTTAAAACAAAACAAACTCGAACTCTCCAGCTTGAAGTATATAAAAAAATCTTGGGAAATACTTCAGGGTCCTTTTTGGACCTTGATCTCTAGAAAACTCCTAAAACAGTAAGACTTGGAGACAAAAAAATTTTTTGATTCCCGTAACTCATTAAGCCGAACATTTATTGAAAAGTTCGTGAAGATCGGATGTATGGTGTCGGAGATAATTTCTGAGGGAGGGACCCTTAAAATTCATTAAGGAGAGGACTCAGACTAGCCGATATCTAAATAATACTGAAACTTACATATTCTATGCCTCTTCGTTATTTATTTGTACACTTGTTTTATTATTTGTAATGATTTCTATCTCATTAGATTGAATTTGATGCATGTGAAAGACAAAGTGTTTACAATCTGACACAAATAATTTCATTTGAAGGTCTTATATCAATTATATCATCTCGTACAAATAATTCAAATTGGTTTCATATAAAACGTGTCTATGATGAATTTCTACGTTTTATTCCACGTTCATCATCTAATTCTAACGCACTACTAACACATATTTCTCGTCTTGATTACATTTCATATATACCATTATTTTTATATGTCGAATCGCTGTTAGACAACGCACCACCACTATTTCGATTTCATGAAAATTCTATACTCGACCAACATATGCAACGTTCAAAAATTAGTGAACATTTTTAAATGTATTTTTGTCATGATTATAATGTACATATTAAACCTAATTGTTTTTATCTATAATTTAAATAAATACTCTTAAATTTAAGTATCAAAGTTCATTTCTAGAATTTTTTCTGGCGCGTACAAACACTTCTCGATTAATTGATAATAGTTCTTAATGCTTCCTTTTTTCCCTATTATCCATAGAAAACATCCGATGGAAAACGTTAAATCAAATGGATATAACAATTTTCAGCTCATTTTCTCACTAATCTCTGTGGCGATTGAAACAATTTTCGTTTTTTTCTTCTCGTTTAATATTTAATTTAGAAATCATGATTAAAAATATTTTATTGATAGAAACTACCTAATTTTTTATTTTACATTCTATTTTTTTTTATTAGTCAACAATGATGGACTGAAAAATTTTATTTCAATCATGTCCAAATTTTTTAGTAGTTCATCATATGAAAAACGTCAGCAAAGAGATGATGAAACGACGATAGAAGCACGAAAAAATGTTCAAGGAACACTATCAGCAAATAATATTAGAAATGACGCATTCACATTATCCGTCTCTGATGAGGATAAAGTAAACAAGAAAAACAGTCGATCATTGACGAATTTTTTTTTTGGTAAGTTGAAAGACAAAAAATCGAATTTGCCTCATCCTCAAACAACAACAACAAAAACAGCAATAGTTAAAAATCCTCAAAAAACTCAACAACAATTGATAAAAAATGAACAATATACACAACAAGAACAATCTTATAAATTAATACCACAGCGAATATCTCGTCCACCTGTTTTAACATTTGATGAAGTGCCTCATTTTCTTCAAAATAAAGAAGATGTATTTCAACGAGGACGCATAAATCAATTTATTCCGAGATCAATAAATATCCGTCGTACAACACCGCCAAGTATTCTACGATCGACCGCCGATATTCAACCACCAACACATTATACAATATTAAATTCAATTAAAATGGATCGAGACACATCGATTATGTTAACACCAGTGCATGGATCTGTTATTAATAGTCAATTTGTTGAAGATAATTCAGCGACAAATGCATCATTAAGTCTTTCAATTTTAGATTCTATACCAAAATACTGCATTTATGTTGCTATTGTGGTTTTTATTATCACTTGTGTCATTATTAGTATGGTAGCTATTATTAAAAAGTAAAAGCAGGAAGCATGCGACGAAGATTATAGAAAAATAATAATTTTTTTAAAGATGTCAAATAGATCGGATGCGTACGCAAATTAAGAGATAATTTTGATCTTCTTTGAGTATGAGAGTGAAACGAATTTTTCGTTTTTGTTTAGATAGGCGTGTGATAACAGAAACATCTTCTGACATCTAAAATCTAGAAATTAGTAGCATTCTTGAATAAAACACTGAAAAATATTTTAAGAGTGTATTTCTCTAAAAGTCAGAGATGAAAGGTGAAGGTCCAGGTTTTCACATTTATTTGATTTTTATTCACACGTCTTTCGTAGAAAAGTCGTACATCACAGACTAATAGCTGTTCAAGGAAGAGCCAATGATCACATATGATTATATGTCGAATGGTTATGACTGTCATATAAGAAGGAAAATGTAAATAAATTTTCATCACAATACTTGGAAAAATGTTGGCGTTTCACTCAAGATGTTGAAATTTCTGTTCTCAAGATCTTAGGCAAGACATGATACAAGACCTTTCATTTTAATGCACGTCTTGATCTTTTTTCGTGCGTAGCACAATGATGACAAGCCGTATTTCTTGAAACTTGCGATTAAGATTTCTCATTTTCAATATTTTCTACCTGCTTATGCGATATTCGATCCATTTACATCATCAACAGATAAAGTGATTATTTTCGGATCGATTCCATGATTTCTATTGTCAAGATAAATATCAGAGTTATTGCACCTAAGCAAATAAAAGAATCACTAGCGAATCCGCTGATTTAATTGCAGCAGTATTTCAAATAATTTTGTGGCTCACCCGGCATTATGAAAGTCACACAAGCTGTTCAAGAAACTAGCGGTGTACTGCGTGTTTTTTTCAATGTCGTTAATCAGACCGGATATCTGATAGATGGTATCAGCAGGCGAGGATGTCGCAGTCATTCGATAGAAAAACCAGCCCTAGTCACCGTAGTTTCCGCGGACAGGGGTCAGATTACAAAATCTCATCTATTTTTTAGACAAAGTTGGGCTCGTGTCGGACAGTTTTTAATCGACAGAAGTATTTTTAGTTCAAAAAACATACTTTTGAAGGTCGCACATGAAACCAAATCAAATGATATATCTTTTGTCATTAAAAAACTGAACTACACTATATTATAACGTTTCCAGCTTCGACCGTCATACTCAAAAATAATATTTTTTGTCGAGTCAAGTGATATATCGTTCGCTTCCTTTTAACAAGTAAATTACGAGTATGCCATTTGTTTTAATATAACATAATGTTAAATATGCTAGTTCATCTTCATTTTTACATGATTTGTTAGACTGCAGAAACTATAATTGATCAATACTTCTATACTTGTATTTTGGACTAGTAGGATTCTCTCAACAATAAACAATCGGGTAATAGTAAAACATGAAGACACCCACAGGCAGCACACAGACACCCACAAACAGCCACAGACAGCTGCACAGACAGCACACATACAACCACAGACAGCTACACAGACATCCATGGATGTCTGTGTTTGGATGTCTGTGTAGCTGTCTGTGGTTGTATGTGTGCTGTCTGTGTGCTGTCTGTGGGTGTCTTCATGTTTTACTATTACCCATAAACAATCGGGTCTAAAAAAGAAATATGTCATTTTAACTTGTTCCCATTGGTTTATTTATCTTGTTTGGATATAATACTTGTTTTATAAAATAGAGTACAATCGAACTCCACTCAGATTGCTAATGTGATGCTGATTTATTAACTATTTTAGAGTTTTAGCGTGCACAGTTGTGAAATGTGTGCCGTGTACGAAGTTATACGAAGAAAATTATTGACATGTAGTAGACATGAATACCAAAAACGTTTTTACGCACGTGTAATGTGATTTAACATCCGAATGTATCTCTATAAACGAACTGAGATATCATTATATCTCTGTGAATACAGTGAGGTACCATTACGCAGCGAACTACAACCTCTTACAACTTGGTGAGAAGGCGTAATGATAGTTCTAATAACAATCATTATAATATGGTGAATGATCTATGTGAAGAATAGAAGACTGGAACTTGAGTCGCTGAAAGAGTTGACAGTATCGCAGTGTTTAGACCGATGCGAATAGTAATCTTCGAATCAGAGAAAGACGAATGTTGAGTGTAGGATCTCCTTTTTATAACATTGTGTAGACGTAAATACCCCTACTGTAATGAACATTATTTTTATGTTACTAAAGATGCATATCTATGCAAGTTTCTCTTGCGAAAATAATAAAAACATGACTCAAACAAATATGAACATCCATCAGTAAACCAAAAAGATTTTAAACCATTTAAAGGATATTTACATAACGGTAAAATACATCCGTTCTCTGAATATTTATATTTAGAAAATATGTGTCTGAGTACAACATAAAATTTAAGAAGAGAAGGCTGTTACTCGGATCAACTTAACCTTTCCAGTTTGTAGAGTACATCAAATTATATACATTCTGCATAAATTGACGTTTAAGTCCTCGCGACACTTTTTAAAGTGATGTTTCGTGAGATCAAAACCGAATCGATTTTGCACTTCTCATTTCGGGAAGAAACGAGGGTAGTGAGAGTGAGTACGAGGAGAACAATTCATCAAGCTAAGAATCTGTGAGGTGATACTTATTTAAGACAATACTATAATTATAAGAAAATATCTGGTACAGAAAATCATTTTGAACAAACTTTACTTATAGTTGAAGCAAACGAATGTGTATGGTTGTATAAGGAATCACTAAAGGGATGGAGTCGGTCTAGTGTCGATTAATCTATATTCTGAAACTCTTAGAACATATTCTGACGAAGTTACATGATTGATTTATAACGAGATTCTGCAGAAGACCAGTGGTTTAATTTAGAAAGCTAAGCTTTACTTGTACTTTCTTATTACAAAAAATGATTTATGTCTAAAACGAAGAAACCCAGGACGTTAAAAACGGTGTAATTTATTGTCTATAAAATGTCTATTAACAGCCCACAAAATGGATCTTAAATGACATTTTTTAGCTACTTAACACCGTTTTTTGATCATTTTTCGACATCATAACTGGGAACGTATTAATGCCTAAAAGTGTCATTTTCTTAACGGTTAAGAAACAGGCTGAAAACAAGTATTCAATAGTAACTGTTTAATGATCATTTCTGCGTAATTATTGGCTGTTTATGGCCAAGGATTCGACTGTTGATCATGGCAAATTTCTTTTTGCCCACTACCATGAAATAAATGATTTTTCAAATTTTTTAATATTTTCGGTTGACTAGGTGTAATCGGTTCCATCATTGGCACCATACCTAGACGCAATGGCTACTTCCTCAACACAAGTTTCGATGACTTATATAGTCGAGGAACAACAAAACTCTACGTTTTCTATGAGAAAACAAAATGGAATATATAGCGGGGAGGTAAGCGAAACAAAAGGGTGAATTTAACGGTAAACGTTAAATGTCCAGTTTTTGTCTGTTTATGGAACGGTCATAAAACGGACAATAAAATGCCATTCAATGGTTATCTAAATCTGAGCCTTATTAACACACAAGTAATTGCTTGTTTTTAGGCCACCATTAAAGGTCA